ACAGGTATTTTTGTGCTTGAGTCAGTTTCGTGTGTGTGAATGCGATATCGCCCCTCTTCCATGTGGTTGCCTTTTTGATTGGAACCATGCACAAAMCGTATTTCTTCGAGAGTCGTATCATACGATACGGGAGGGTCCTCGAAGACAGAAAATCCATCAAGCGTGAAATGAGAATTRCAATTCGGTACAAGTCAATTCGATTCCATTCAAGTTCTTCGTTGCAGTATTGGGTGATTCCCGTAAACATTGATTCTAAGAAAATTGAATTAGATTCCAGTCGTGCAGACATAGAAGTATGTATTTAAGACACAGATACATAGATTTTTGGTTCTCGCAAGGCCACGGCTGCCAAAAAGTATGCACACACATAGATTTATGTCGGAATCCTCGATTCAAACATTCTCAAGTCACGAGCAACTGACAGCTCAACTGACAGCCAGTTCTCAAGTGTCAGCCAGTTCTCAAGTGTCAACGAGCGCCGGGGGAGCCCGCCAAAACAAATCTAAAGTGTCACAAAGCGCGCCAAAACAAATCTAAAGTGTCAACATGATGGGGTTGGTTGGGTTTAACAAGATCGGTTGAAAAGATAGCTGTTAGCAGCATCAAATGGGTATCGATGCTGGCTGACAGAAATTTGGATCATAAAGGGACGTCGACACGCAATCAAGGAACATCGACTCCCCCGACAATCAAGGAACATCGACTCCCCCGACAATCATGTCCCTAGAATTCATCATGCTTTGTGTGGCTCTCCACAATGAGCTGGACAAAGAAGAGGCTCTGTCTCTAGAGGAGAGGCACAGAAGGGATAGGAGGACGCCACGGATTGCAATCAGGAGATGGAATCAGTCGCCGTTCCTCCACTTGTTTAGCTCTGGCAATGAGCAAGCGCTTCTAAACTGTTGTGGTGTTGACCACAGGGTCTTCAGAGGACTGATGGCACTCTATGCACCAATATTCAACATGTACATGATTGATGAGGCAACAGGGAAGATTAGAATGAGAAGCTTCCACAGGAATGGAATGCCAAAGGGACGCTTCAGGGAAGCCACTGCCCTTTGTTGTCTTGGATTGACCCTGCACTGGTTCAGGACGCGTGGATCAGTAGCAAGAGGCCTCTCCATGGCATTTGGTCTTACATCGACAGTAATGTACAAGTGGATCAAGTTCTCCTGGTGTGTTCTCCTCTACGTATTGCAAGACCATCCAGACGCAAGGATCCAAGCTCCTGCCAGAGAGGAGATCCATGCTTATATTGAGGCTATTGGGGAGAAATACCCACTCCTTGAACAACAAAAAGTATGGGGCGCTGCTGATGGACTGAAGCTTGGGTTGCAGAAATCTTCAAACTGGGCAGTACAGAACACGTTCTACAATGGATGGACATGCGACACGTACGTTGGTAGTGTCTTCATCTTTGCTCCAGATGGCAAAATTAGAGGAACCATCTTCAACTGTCCAGGATCTTGGCATGATAGCACCATATCAGACTATGGAATATACAGGAGGATGGAGGAGATGTATGAGTTGTATGGAGCAAAGGTTGTTGTCGACTCCGCCTTCAACTTGACTGACAAGCAATATCTTCTTAGAACTTACCAGAAGGATCCAGATCTCCTTGCCAGCATCAACAACAATGAAGGCAGCAGAGCCAGCAACCTCGCTGCTGCCAAACGTGCTGTAGCTGTCAATCGTCAAGCCACGTCACTCCGACAGCTGTCTGAATGGGGGATGCGGATGATCCAAGGACAGTTTCCAAGACTGAAGGACAGGATCAGGCTTGAGGAGCAAGGTGAAAGGAAGATTCTCCTGAACACAGCCATCTTGTTGTACAATTATCAAGCCAGCACTGTAGGCATCAATCAGATCCTTAATGTGTTCATGCCCAATGAAAAACACAAAAGCGGCTTCTTCAGCCATAACAACGTAACAATCGATGATGATGCAAACAACTTGTTTTGGTAAGATACGACGGCAAGAACATCGACAGCCACAACAATGATACATCGATTCGTCCCAGCAACAAAACGATACGCACAACCGATACTGAAAAGCAAAGATAGCAACAACCGATACGGAACAACGATACGGAAAAGCAACAACAAACGATACGGAAATGCATCAAACGATACGGAAACGCAAGCAACACCGATAAAATTCCCATGGTCAACCTACCATTTGATCGGAACCACTAAACAAGTTTAAACTAATTCATACTGGAGGCTTGTGCAACAAGCAGTATCATGGAAGTGAGCTGAGCGGGGAGCAGTAGTCAAGGAGCAAGAGCAAAGAAGCTTCTACGCGTTATACTGTGTTAAGTTGGATTTTGTACACAATACTTCGTGTTATTTGAAATTTTCATGGTCCGTTGAACCCTTGAAGCGTTGCATATTATATAAAATATTCATGATTCGATATACATAATCCCCTAATGAAGCAGCGGGAATAAATGCAATAAAGTAATAAGAAATATACATGATCATATAATCCAATTATTGGAAGATTTGGCGGGACATAAAAGCAATGCATGTTGGAGTATACATAGACGTCCATTGAAATTGAAGTTGAAGATTACAGAATACACGTAAGATTATGTAGAAACAGTACTGAACAACACGAGCTAACGCGTAGGAGTTAAACTAATCCACTTGCTTTTCATCCCCTTGCTTTTGCCACCATAACACAGCAGTCAGTATAAACCAAATGGAAGATGGGAATTAAAGTAGTGATTAATAAGATAAATTAAATGTAGTAAATGTAATATAAACACGACAATCGACAATGGGATTCAGCATGGAATCGTCGGAATCATCCAACGCGCTAATCGGAATCGGAATCATCCAACGCGCTAATCGGAATCAGAATCCTCGGAATCATTGCTGTTGCTTCTGGAGCAACTATTCTTCCTCTTGCGACCAGCTTTTGGACTGAAGTGCTGCATGGCAATGGTGACAAGGGATCCAAGAGCGCTTCNCTAGACGACTAAAATCCTAGATTGATCCAAGCTACGAGTGTTCTAACGTGCTCCGTTGTTGTGTGGTAGAAAGAACCAAAGTATTTGCCTTGCATTCGGACGAAAAGAGTACTACGATGCTGTATTATTTGTTCCCCATACAATTTTCATTATTATTCGACAATAACTGAAACATATTRATCCGCTATTGCTGTTCCAATCTAAACCACTCTGGCGACTACGTACCGCTCTATCGGCGGCACCTGATTGCGCATATTGCGACTGCGACGATTATGGGGGAGGTCCTTCTCCCTCGTTGCCAGGGGTGYTAGGTATTGCTCGTGGAGTTCCCTCACGCCCGAATCCGACACCACCTGGTAGCCACCGCACTYCGACAACAAGAAGCTCGCAAATCCTTGCCGCGTCCAGACGCTAATCCAGGGTTCCCCAACCAAGCTAGCACCTTTCAACACAAGCCGAGAAACCCTATCCGTGTCGTCGTCAAAGACGGTCTGCGGGACGTASGATACCAAGAGCACGGAGCCGCGCGGGAGGAGTTCGTGCAGCTGTTTCAGGGTTCTGGCGGTAGCTGACTTGGGGAKATATTGGGTGACACCCTCCAAGAGAACAACAGTCATTGTTTGGTCGCCGCCTTCCGTCGAGAAAAACGACCCTAGTTTTTTGCCAATGGAATGGCCACCGACGTCGTCGTCACTGTTGTTAAAATCAATCGGGACAAAGGTCACCATACCGTTTTTCAATCGAGAGGCAACCTTATGATCATTGGTGGCAATGTCCTCTAAGATTCTCTTTTTGGATGCCTGCACTGGAGACYGGTCGACCTCAATGACCTCGAATCCTTCCGGAAAGAAATCCAATCGAAAGCCACGGGTATCATATCCAGCGCCAAGAATGATAAGYTGTCTGCAAGAAGGGATCGCAGTAGCATCGGCACTAGAATCTGTCTCATCGTCACTACCGACAACATGAATCGCAATCTGGTCGTCGATCCACTTTGTCCGAAGCGTCAATAGTTCAAGAATCCCCGGAAACGAAACATCCAGGAGACGATCGATCATCGAAATCCCCATCCACTCTACCACACTCGAACCCTGRTACATGGAYTTTGCGTACGGATCYGTGTAMAGACGCACCGATTCGTCGTACATGGACTCGATGTGCCGAACCTTGGCAACGCCCTGCGCAGTGCCGTCCCCGGTGTTGTTCCGAAACAGCAGCAATTTTGCCACCGCCAKGGCGAAGGCGGCGAAGACAACGGCGGAACGTGTAGTAGAKATTCTACTACTACTCGCCATGGTATGCTCAGGAMCGATAATCTTTGTCTCACAGGTATTTTTGTGCTTGAGTCAGTTTCGTGTGTGTGAATGCGATATCGCCCCTCTTCCATGTGGTTGCCTTTTTGATTGGAACCATGCACAAA